AGCAACATATGGAGCATATATTAATACAGTTTGGATGATAAAAACCAAACCTGTAGCAGAGATAATTAAAGAGCCAATTTTCTCCTTCCAAAATAGCTGATAAAAATATTCATCACTTTATAATTATCATGTGAAAAAAGAATACACCGAATTTTTATCAGGTAACATACAGTTACATGATTTTTAAAGTCATTTAACAGCTTCAATAAATCTTCACTTCTTTTTGGTCTACACATTTAAGAAATGACTTTAGTTTTTATTAACCCAATCATATTTTTATGCAAAGAAAAAACCCAGAGTGATCATGTAAATTATGTAAACAAACTGTATTAATTTAATCAATGTTGTATTTACTAGAAATAATTGCCACTGCCCATTGAAAGAGGTGCATTTCCATAATTTCCCAATTTTATTGGGAAAACCCACGATATCATATAATACAGCAATTTTAGGAATTTCCTTTTAATACTGATGTGCAGACTCCTTAATTTTAGTTAAGGAGACTTGAATATATGCCTTAAGAAATAATAATATTTAGACTTAGCTTTTAACTTATACTTTTGCTGGAATATTGACAAGTTGCTGACACAGGAAAACCTAAAATGGAATTCTGTAGCTTCTCTATACCTATTTTCCAGGTCAAAGAACTTTTTTTTTTTTGGTACTGGGAATTGAACTCATGACCTCAGCCTTGCTAGGCAAGCACTTATGCCACTGAGCTGTATCCCCAGCCCAAAGAATCTTTTAATGTTTAAATCCCCGGGGTTAGAAAGCAATCCTTATGTTAAAGGGGATTCATTCCTTAACAGGTGCTTTAAAAACTTTATTTGGACAATAAGATTTTCTTTGGTAAATTTTGTAATTAATGAAAGTGTAGAAAATTTCCTTAGTACTTACTACTGAGCTGTTTACAACTCAAATACAGCAAACCAGATTGATATTAATTCTGTAGCTGGGGATAGATTGTCCAGTTAAGTTCATTTCTCTCTGAAAAGGATCTCTTTTATTAGACCTACCTTCAAATTTTATTAGACCTTCTCTTTTATTAGACCTACCTTCAAATACAGTTTATTTATTTATTGTCTTTTTTGGGACAGGGTCTCACTGTGCAGTTCAGGCTGGCCTTGAGCTCACTTTATCACCCAGGCTGGTCTTGCAGTGATCCTCCTGCCTCAGCCTCCCGAGTGCTGGGATTACAGGCACGTGCCATACCTGGTCAAGTACAGCTTTTAAAAAAGACTCACTTATACTTTAAGCTACACCTACTTCTATTTTTTGGTAAAATCTGTATCAATTATAATAGCACAGTAGCAGATACATGAATATGCTTTAATTTGTAAACATTGGGAACACATTTTCTCAAAATTCAGAAGCAAAACTTAGAACCTCTGTTTCTGTGCTACTGCCTTATTTCACACCATTGCTAGCTTTCTGCTAGCTCCTACTCTGAATTTGCTATTTCTCATCGAACTAATGGCTGAGATTATAGAAATACTGAAAAATGACCAAAGTCGTGACTGTGTGATCAGGTCAGTAGACATAAATGTGCCTTCATAGGCAGGATGGATGTACAGTGAGCCCTGTATGAATAGTTATGTCTTATGTTGTTAAGTGCCGGTAATGATACACCCATTAGGTATACACAATGTAATACTAAAATTTGTCTTATGTTACCCATTATGACCAACTTAGCATGGAAAGTTGTACCAGTTTAATGACTCATGATTTTATTAGTGCTGTTAATTTTACACTCTATCTTCTTTTAATCTGGCAAATATTTTTAAGTTTTAAGAGTTTAAGTTATCACTATCTACTTGGTTTTCATATAACTTATTTTAAAAAGCACTTTTTAAAAAGTAGTACAAATACATAAGTGTTTCAACCAACTTGGTGGTGAAACAACGACAGTAATCACTCAATCTGGAAGATAAAAAGTCTCATGTTCAGACTATGTAACACAGCCACAGTTTAGAAAATTTGCCCTAAAATTCTTACAGATTTTCTGATCACTAGCATGACCTATTAAACTTTTCAAAACTGAAAAATGAATACATAACTGAAATACTGGTTTTTAAAAACTGACTCTATAATGTAATCTAAGATCAGAAATGGAGATGCCCCTCCTTGCCAGTGTTTGTACAGTATGCTACCCATTAAGACACATACTAATATTTTTATTTACAAATGAACATGCAGAGAATTAAATGAGACAACTGATTGTCAACAACTGAAGTACCACAAACTGGACTCATACAAACCTCACAAAGTGAAATAGGAAAAATACCCCACTTCATTAAAATATTCACAAAAGTAGTGCAAACAAAACAATCTGCAAGAAGTTATTCTCAGTTATTCCAGTGTCTAATAAATATAATTAATTTGAGAGTACATAATGGAAATACTGAGCCTTATACAGCTGACACTACTGCAGTGAAGACATTTTATATGGTATATACACTTTTGTTTGACGATATGGTCACTGTTCCATTATGGAATCGTAAGCTTCACACTATGAACCTTTTTCAGTTACATAAGGAAATATTGCTTTTATCTGCTCCAAGCACAGTAAGGTCCAACTTCTCTCTACACTGGAAATTAATGTAATTATATTTATTTAATTTTTACAATACTCCATTATACAATACAATTAACTGGCCACCTTCGTGACAGAAAGCTGGCTGATTTAATAATTACTTTAAAGTAGCTAGAAACACTGATCAAGCCATTTTTTAAAGTTTATTTTGCACTTAAATAAATCTTCACACATATAAACAACATGGCAGCATACAACTGTTATGTGGCAGAAAATCCGTAAGGCATAAATTAGCTTAAAGAATAATATACCTATCCTTACATTTGTATAGACACCTATATTTCTAACACTTCTTCATCTGTACTTATTACCCTTCATTTTTTTCTAGATCTAATACTTTTCTTAATGAGCCGTATTCACCAACTAATAGACCAAAAATATAAAGCAACTGCAGAAATGGGAAGTGTTACATACATTACCACAGTCAAGAGAGGCAGTGGGGTGTCAGTACTCATTTGACGGGAGACAAGGTCTGATTCTGGCTCTGCTTCAGTTATGTGACTTTGTCATGTCACAACCCCTTTGAGCCTCAGTTTCCTGAGGCTGAATATGTGTGTGAGGGGGGAGACTAGCTAGAGTGTCTCTAGGGTCTCTTCTAGCACAAAAATTCTGAGTCTATTAAAAATAGGCACAGAGGAGTGGATTGGAAAAGGGTGGTAGTAGGGGTTAAGCATTTTAAGTTACAACTATTTTCCTCCTAGCTTATTAATATATTTTCATATTTTAAAACTCCAACATTAACTTCTCACTTTACATTTGGATTTTGCTTTCTAATAATATAATTTTAAATTTTATGTCACAGAGTTCCCAAAACCTTCAGATGTCTCTTTGTATTCCTTAATCCTGACACAGCTGCATCAAATCAAATTGTTTTATTATAGAAAACAAGCATTTTGTCCCCTAAATAAATTTTTCATAGGTGGATGGACTATTTTTTAAATCAAAGTTAAAAACAAAAGGTTGTCAAAGGATCAAGTATGAGTTGCTGGCATGTATTTGTTGTGGTTATAAACCTGAAACAAACCTATTTTAAATTAAGTGCCAATAAATAGTGCAGGGATTTTTTTTTTTCCACTTAGAAATTTTTAAGAGGGCCAGGGATATAGCTCAGTGGCACAGCACCTGCCTGGCAAGCACGAGGTCCTGAGTTTGACTCCCATATCAAAATAAATAAATAAATAAACATCTTAAAAAAAATTTTTTTTAAACTTAGAAAACTTTGTTAAACTAACTCATTTCATTCTGTATCATGCACAGCAAATCTAAGACCCTGAATACAAAGTTTAAACCAAAGGAAATGTTTCTTTATTGGGGTCAAGTATAACCTGAAGGAATGGAAAGCAATTAATATGAAATCATGAAACATGAATAGTTATGCATATACACAAAACCTCTAAAAAAAAAAACCTCTTATGTACACGGATGGAGATAAATGAAGTCCTCTACGATTAAAAAGTTTTAAAACTAGCTTTTCAGGTGTAACGTAAGATTAACCAAAGGGAATTTTTATCATGAATTTTACAGCTTTTGCTGTAATTTGGTATAATCCGGTTATTTCTTTTGTGCTTTAATTAAGATTATCCTTGATTTAGATGCCAGTATAGCACTGGGGACATAGCTCAGCGGCATAAGTGCCTGCCTGGCAAGGTCCTGAGTTCAATTCCCAGTCAAAAAAAAAAAAAAAAAGATGCCAGTATACACACAACTTTTTAAAACAGGTATTTTTTGCCAGGATCTCACTCCCCGTTAAATATGATGTTCCTTTCCTTACGTTCCTGAGACCTTACCTTCTTTAGTATGTGGTACACTCATATACCTCACTTATTTTTGCTGTTTTAAAATTCTTTTCATTTCTTTGACATCCCATATAAAATGAAGGGATATTTCAAACTTCTTTGTGATCTACATGTATACATATCATACACATAAATCAATAAATCACCTATCAACCTTTAGCTTTACTTTGGATTTTGGCAATACTGAGGACACTAGTTCAGGTTTTCATTGGTCTTAGAAAGATTCCAACATAAAATCACCCACCTTTTTTTTTTTTAAAAGAAAAATGCTCTTATAATTTTAAAAATTTTTAAGTATGAAAAAGCAAAAACTATTTTTCTGGTTATTTTATCAACGTCTACTATAAGTTTAATTGGCAGAAATAGAATTTTAAACTTTATTAGGAGAATAGTTGCTTTCTATAAACTCACTTTATTTTTCTTTCATGGTATTAAACCGAAAGTGTCTAAATGTTCAAAGCACTCCGCTGTAGTTTGTGGAAGGATAATTTACAGAAGTTCAAGTTAAATACTGTTTCCAAAAGTAATTATTCCCTTCTTTTTCCAAACATTAGAGCCTGAGACTCAAGAGGTCATAATAAAGTCTTATCCAACCAAATCAAAACGTAAAATTTTTTAACCAGTCATGTACTTTTGTGGCCGTATAGCAGTTACCAAATACTACTTACATACATTCAATATCCAGCTTACTGGCATGATTTCAAAGTTTTATAAAAACGAGAAACTCTGCAGATATATGATTAGAAGATACACAAATTGCATCACATTAAACACAAAGGCAGTGTGGTCCTTATAGGAGAAATCAAGTCAGTACCCCCTGGTAGAAATGTTCTATAAAAATGAGTCACATTGAAGCATCAGTGTTTTCAGCCAATTATCTGTCCCTGATATATTTCCTTGGAATATATGATCTATCAGGACTTTAAGTTTCTTAATCTAAAATATCTGACTGAATTTCGGTACATCTAGAAAGCAGCTGAAAGGGTTTCTCCAATAGTCTTGACAGCTCAGAAAATGGACTGAGAAATCCCTCTCTTTACCTGAAGACGTACAGTTCTACTTCAGTCATCATCAGCTCACAAAAGAGAAAAACACAAAATAATCAAAACCTCCCCTCACGCACAATCCCACACACACTAAACAAAATCCCTCCCCCCACAAAACCCCAGCACCAAGTCAATCATTCCTGGGAAACAGAACATGCCCCTTGGATTCTCTGATTTGTTAGCTGTTCAAACTTTAAGGAGAGAAAGGACCTTAAGTCTTGGTGGGAAGAGGGAAGACATGTTAATAATGACTAGAGAGCCATTGAGAAAGTGCATTATCAATTACACAATCAACTTAGAGCCCCAACCTCAAAGGAGGTGGTCACAAGTTGATTTAAATGCCTTAGTAATTGAACGTTTATGTCCTTAGATAAACGAAATGGGAGAAAAAGAGCCACCCTCATTTTAATGAAAAAGTGCAGCAGTCTACCACCCTCCCCGTGCTTCTTGAGAAAACGATTGCACAGACTCAGAGAAGTCCAAAGTCATAGCAGAATCTCTGAGGCACTCCTGGTTAAGAGAGAAAAAAATATGATCCAGTCATCTTCATAGTTCTACAGATTATATGAACAAACCCGTTTTTGTTTTGTTTTTAAACAAAAGCCAAAGAATCATTTCATAGGGATCATATCCAGCATTTCCTCTAACGTACCCTCAGTCTCACAGTGTTGAAATGGGACTGATCCGCCTACGATGGATTGCACATCACCCAAGGAGAAGGAAAGGCATGGAAAGGCAAACAATTTATACTGCTTCACAACACACCAACAAGGAACAGGGAGGGCACAGGAGAAGTTGGAAGGACAGAAAATAAAACCTTATTGCTGTTTCCATACAAAATACAGTGTGAATATAATAAACTAAATCAAATCTGATTGCGATGACCAGTATTTTCACAAGGTGGGATGAAGTGTCTTCTTGCACAATGAAACTTTCAGTTACAAGGAAAGCTGAAAGAGCAGAGGGAGGTGACGAAGCTACACCTGGGATATCAGCTGCATATTGAAACTTGGGGAGCGGGACTGCTTGGTTAAGGGGGCTCCTGGGCTGAGGAGCTCTTTCCCGTCACCAGCTTGACCCAGCCGGTCTTCCTGGAGGCTGATGGTTGAGTATCGGTTAGCACTGTTAGCTGCTAGATTGGTGACTCCCTCTGTGCCGACCCCAATGCTGGTACCTGCTTGACTGCCGTTTACATAGTCAAAGGATTTACTGGAGGAAGCACTGGCTGTCCGGATTAGACTCAGACTATTGGTTTTTGGCACCACCTGCCCAGCAGGCAGGCTCAGGTGTTTCTTCATTGGTGTCAGCTCAACTGAATCTACACTAAGGTCAGCCGGCTGCTGTCCATACTGTTTGCGAACTGGGCTGTCACTGGATTTGGTGGCAGAAGCTGCTTCTTTATCTTTGGCTGAACGCCCAGCTGCTACTTTCCGCAAGCTTCCCCTCTGAGAAGAGGAGGATGCTTTGGTACCAACTGGCTGGCTGCTGAGGGATGCCCCTGATGAAAACCCTTCATCGGCATCATTCAGGTTCGCAAACTCTTCTCCGTTTATGCTTTCAGCACCTAAAAACAAAGCAGACAGGCTCAGCAATAGCTAGATTAAGGGAAAGGCAGATGTGAACGACACTGACCTCATTTCGAGTAATGTTTGCTACAGGCTGCTAAAAGCCTTACTATCAGGCTTCATCTAAGTAATTTAGGAGAATAAATCAATCTACACAAAATTCTAATATATATTGTGTTTGTTTACTTTAAATTAGCCCAGCTTTGGTGAAACTCTCCAAAATGTACCTAAGTATACTAACAACATTTAGACACATAAAACTAGGTAAAACACAACATTTTGTTATCATACATCTTTATAATACACACTGTTGTTGATTTGAAATGACCACAGCTACCTATTTAAACACAGCCAACTTTTTCCTCAGATCATTTTTAACCCACCACAGAATAGACTGTACAAGAGACTGTCTTCTAATTTCAGGTATTCAGAATTACACCAAAAACTCATTCAAGCCATAGGATAAACCTCTCTAACTGCAATAAAATTTTATATTTACTTAAGTTAACTACTTCTATATGATTTTACAACTTTTAACATGGAACTAGTAAATTTTCTAACTTGTAATTAAAAAACTACATGGCTTCCAGAAATTTCACAGCCCTAACATGCACTCACTGGTCTCCCTGTTTTTCTCATCAGTTAATGTGAAGGAAATAGTATCAGGGACCAGGGGTAGGAACCTCATAGGGACATTTAAGAAGGACCTTTTTGGTCAACATTATGTATTTCTACAATATTTTAGATTCTTAGCACTGAGATATGTTACAGGGGCTGGGGATATAGCTCAGTGGCACAAGCGCCTGTCTGAGATATGTTACTGTTGTCATCACAAAATACTATACATTTAACATTTCATGCAGAATGTGCATGCAATTAATGAAAGAATCTATCTTGAGTTTTTGCAGAAAGAAAAGCATGTAGTTAAGTTGAGCTTGTAGTTTCCAGAAAGCCCAGTTCTCTTACTGAAAGTGTAATCAATCTCTTAGAAGTTAACATATTTTATTTTTTCAAAAATTGATATTGGCTTGCTACACTGCTATTGCTATTGATTTGCAAACTATTTTCCACAGACTGCAAGAAATTTTAATCTGAATCTATATAAAACATATATGAACATTGTATTTAAGGTAAATGTTAGGAAACAATCTAAACAAATACTACTTTGAGATTTTCCTAAGCAAAGTATATATAAAACACAATCTTTAACATAATACCTGGAAGAATAAAAACATATTCAGATATAGATTAGTTATTTCTTTCCTTCTAAAGAATAGAATATCCTTAAAACAAAAAGCACCTTGTTATAAAATATACTGTATACACACACACACACCCAGCAGTTTAATAAAGTTTATCACCATGCAAAGCCATGTGAAAATGCATTTACCAACAAGAGTAGCAGCTGACACCACTTCTCTCAACCCCCTCAAAAGAACTGTATAAAATATACTCCAAAATAAGGACTTCTTATTCTATGGAATCATTTCAGTAATTTATTTAAAATTAGTATAAAAAACCCCCAAATGCCCAGAAACAGATAGTTACTGGTTCAGAATTAATGTTAGTGATATAAAACTGGGAACAAACAGAAATGAATTGTTGGGTTTACCTAATTAAGAAAAGAGACTGAGAGACTTAGTGCTAGCTTTGAATTTTGCCACATGCAGATCTGATGCCCAAGCAATATGGCCATAAAAGAGATGATGACAACATAAAGCCACCATGCAAGAGAATCTATTAGTGGTTTACATACTACGAAACCTGTTTCATTGTAAGGGAACACTGACCATACTTTCATCACAGGCACTGTCTTCACTTTAGTGATGGATGATGGGCTATTTTCCCTTCAATTTCAACATATAATAAACAATTTAAATTGGAAACTTTAAAACTTTTTTTAAAAAGTCATTAATCCAAAAGCTCCAGCAAACTACAAAATCACCAAGGACTGACTGATTGATTGATTGACTGATTTGAGACAGATTCTGGCTATGGAGTCTAGGCTGGTCTTGGAAGTTATTTTTATTTTAAATTTTAATTTAATTTTATTTTTGTCTTTTTGAGACAGGATCTCGCTATGCAGTTCAGGCTGGCCTTGAGCTCACTTTGTAGCCCAGGCTGGCCTCGAACTCGCAATGATCCTCCTGCCTCAGCCTCCCGAGTGCTGGGATACAGGCATGTGCCACCACATCCAGCTCGGTCTTGAAGTTATTATGGAGCCCAGGTCAGCCTTGAACTTGTGACCATCCTCCTGCCTCAGCCTCCCAAGTTCTGGGATTACAGGTCTGCATCACCATGCCTAGCCCAACTTTTAATAATCTTTCTTTCTGTTTACAAAAACTTCAAGGAATAAAAAGGGCAACTGTGTCTCAAAACATATTTCCTCTTTCATTTTGTCCCTACATGACACTATTCACAATCCAAAAAACTGAAAATAATTTTTAGTGAATGTTTCTCTTAATAGCTGCCTTTCCTATACATTCAGCTTCTACTAACAGATTTAAAACTACAATCTAAGATATTAAAAAGTAAGTTTTTAGAAATTTCAAACATTTTTTTAGAAATTTCAAACAAAATTAACTCTCCTGTCCTTGTGGCTACACTCTCCCATTCCCCTCCCTAAACTGAAATTTTGCCAGAAAAAGGGTATTTTAATGTTTAATAGGATACCAAAAAGAAATTACTATTCTGGTTCCTTTTTCAAAGTGTATGACCTCTGCTGGGTGTGGTGGCATAAGCCTGTAATCCCAATACTTGGGAGGCTGAGGCAGGAAGATCACCAAGAGTTCAAGGCTAGCTTGGGCTATATGATGAGTTCAAGGACAGCCTAGACCACACAATGAGATTCTGTCTCAAAAACAAACAAAAACAAAAAGTATATGGCTTCTGATTAATTGGAAGCAATGCTTCAGACTAATATGACACTTTCTGTAATTTCATCAAGTGTTAAAAACTAAAATAATACTATATTTAGCACAAATATCCCTGACACTCTTATAATGGTGCAGGTCAAGTGGCTCGCTGAATCATTAAGAATGTTGGAAGATGGGCTGATGCTCAGTGTCGGCCAACTCCAAGTCCCACATGTACTCATAGTCTCATCGTATGCATTTATGTAAGATACAACTGACTGACTGCTACGAACAACATGAAGAGTTATAAAAATGAAGACAGGAAGGTTGCATCTTCCATAGCCATATACAGAGGGACTTCTAAAACAGTGCCACTCTTTGGGTCCCTAGGTCATGCGCATGCAACACTGTTCCTAAGGTCAATCTGGGCAGACAGGCCAGGAGACAGAGGGCAGACATAGGTTCTTACTGAGCATGCTCACATCTCTAAAGCACCAAAGAGCAAGAATTCCTTCAGGTGGAAGTTTACTGCTTTATGGATGTTTGGTCTTTGTACTAAGTAAAAATACATAACCTCTTTTACAAATGCTTGGTTCATTTCATAATTGCGTAAAGGCTCCATGGTAGCAATGTGTTCAGTAATGAAAACTAACTGTTCTGTATTTCACAAAGCTAACTCCTGTAGGGTTATATGCAAAACAGCAAGTAGAAATGTTTTCTGGCAGAAAGAAAATGTTCTTTCACAGGGATAGGGAGGTGGGTGTAAAGAAACAGTTTTGAGAGGCCTACATTGTAGCAAAAAGGATCTACTACGGTTTTGACCTCTATATAATATATTCAATTCCGTTTGGGAGCTATATAAACAAGCATTAAATGAAGTTATAATGTGTAGTAGGCACCAGGGTAGCACATTTATAGTGGAAAGATGCCAGTAATTCACGAGTTAGACCTAATTAACTTGATCTACAGATTGTAAAAAGCCAATCAATACTAGTACATTCTGCCCAAAGGATAAGGCATTCTTGCTAACTCAACACCCTACAGAATTACAGATAAACTGGGCCAGTTGCACTTCAATTTCCCAAGTACACTAAATTCTAAAAATCTCTTCACAGACTTTATTATTTTTTTCTTTTCTTTTTATTAGGAACTGAGCTCAGGCCTCACGCTTGCCAGGCAGGCACTGTGCCACAGAGCTAAACCCCCAGCCCTCTTCACAGATTTTTAAACATTAAATTATTATATAAATACATTCATGTTGACTAACAAGGCTCATGTCCATTGGGTGCATTTTCCCTCTAGAATAAACATGCTCAGTAAGGGAAAAACTCCAAGCACTTGCAGACCGTGGGAGACAGGCCCTGCCTTGTTAGTAGCCATGCCAAGCTGCTCTTGGATTACACGGGATGTACACTCCAGGCCAGCACAAAGGGTAACTGAAGATTGTACCTAATCTGGTGCTAGGCATAGGGGAAGAGGGTTGCTTTGCAAGGAAGAGCTAGTACACCCTGGGGTGGTAGAAACACACACTAGAATGGAAAGATGTTCTGCAGGGGGAGAGAGAACCAGGATCCTTCTCCAGCAACTGCCTCACTGACTTCTGCCTCCTCATCTCTGTCCTACCCTCTGTTGTGGCTGCTGCTGAGTTGGGCTCCGACGAGCGGTGCTCAGGGGTCCTGCGCACCAGCACCTCCCCCTCTTGCACACGTTTGATCCCTAGGTCAGTGGAGCCGTGTTGGATCGGGGAGCCAGGAATACTCGAGTCAGCCTCGTTTGAGAAGTCAAAGCCATCTGGGATTCAACATATAACATTTTAGTGCTTTTGTGCTGCTCTAGTCTTTTCTGAGCATTTTGACCCAGGTAGATAAGAGAATGTACATATGGATATGATATTAACACAAACATTACTAATATAGTTACATGTGTGTGCATTGCTTGCACACACATAGGCAGCAGATGAACAATGTGAGGTTTGCAAATGAATAGAACAGCAAAATAGGGATCATTAAAATGGCAACTGATGTCTCTTTGGCAAGACAGCCTGACTATTCAAGTCTATGAAATATTGCTGGGCTCAGCACTCATAAATAAGGAAAAGCAAAGACAAAAATCTAAAATCAAGGACCAATTCTTTTCATTTCGGTACCAGAAATCGAACTCAGGACCTTGCACTTGCCATGCAGGCGCTTGTGCCACTGAGCTATATCCCTGGCCCAAGAATCAATTCTTTATGGGTTGCTTTATCATACTGTCAGTTTGGCCAGTTAGTTTCCTCCCACAGTGCTCATACATGCACCTGTTTTCTCCCCAGTAAGTAAACAGGTTTAAAGCAACTTTTTTCCTACTGTTATTACAAGTTCAAAAAAATATGAAAATTAACCTGGTTTTATTTTCTGTTTTAACATTCATAGAGCAGTCTAACATCTTTATTCATATTCATATTCATATATACTGACACTAAAACAATTTTAAACATTTAATGCCCCCCTCCTTTTTTAGTCTTTTTGAAACAAAGTTTCACTATACAGTTCAGGCTGGCCTTGAACTCACTTTGTAGCCCAGGCTGGCCTTGAACACCCAGCAAGCCTCTTGCCTCAGCCTCCTGAGCGCTGGGATCACAGGTGTGCACCACCATACCCACCTCTAGTGCTATTTTTAAAAACCAAAAATTTTTAGAGCTCTATATGGCAACATGACCTGTGCAATCTAATAAACGTACTTGATATGTAAGAACAGACTGTGGGGGGGCTTTACCCTTACCTTCTCTTCTCCATCTGTGACGACGGATTGAAGCTGTTGTGATCGCAGTCCGAGAAATCCTCGGCACTGTCGGGGTGACTTCTACTTTCAGGACTTTCTGGCCTTCTTGGGAGGAATCGGGAGCATCAAATGGAAGCGAGTTTTTCATTGCATTGGCAACCTACAACGATAACGTAAGTCTATACAAATTTACAACCAACCTACACTGTTTGGTTATTCTGCACTTTGTGTTTCCATAAATCTTTTACATATGTCTTTAAACTTGTACTGCTGTAACATACAGAAGCACAAAAATAGCAGAAAGGTTTGTATTGCCAATGTTCTTTGTTCTCTTTCTCTCTTTTTTGTTTCTTTGAGACAGAGAATCATTAGGCTAGCCTTTAACTCACACTCTCTAGTCTAGGCTGACCCTGAACGAAGTAATCCTCTTGCCTCAGCCTCCCAAGCGCTGGGATTACAGGTGTGCACCACTACACCCAGCCTGGGTTGTAATTTTTTAAGTAGGCTTTTAAATAAATGTACTATAGACTCCTTTAAGTTAACTTTTAAAGAGAAAACTCATTTAACATTTGGGTCTTGGTATAAACTAAGTTAGAATTAAGTTTCTGATTGTTCAGATGTTAAATAACATGCCAAACTTAATCCCTTGCAAGCATTAGAATTCTCCACGTCTACATACTTCAGCATTAGGTCCCCTTACTTTCTGCTAAGTTGGGTGAGCTTAGCTAAGCTTACTAGCTAAGTTGGGTGATTAGTAACTGGCATCAGACCCGTCCATGTTCTGTAACTGGACAGCACTGATCTGGCAAGGGCTGTAAACTAGTACACCATCTTCCTCCCTTCTCTACTGGTGTGGGCTGGAGCAACCTGGACAGACAGATAAGACTGACCAGCTCATCAGAAGACCTGTTGCCTGTTCCGAGGCTGATGGAGGGGGAAAAGGTAGGTCTCCTGAGTTTAGCCTTTATCATTTTCTATAGACAATGCTGACTTATGTGCCAACTATTCTCTTGATCATATGGCTTTAATTGTGAATAGGGGCCACCTACTCCCTTACATGTGATACCTTGGAAACGTTATTTTAATTTAATTTATGAGACTGTTGCAAGGATAGATCAGGAATTTTAAGTTTCATAAATACAAAATATTATGTTGAAGATTAATTGTTATCTATTTGTTTTAATGTAAACTCAGGGTAACATTAAGAATGGTGAGCCAAGCTGGTGACACATACCTACCTATAATCCCAGCACTCTGGGAGGCTGAAACAAATTTGGGAGGATTGCAAGTCTGAGTCCTATCTGGACAACTTAGCAACTTAGATGCTGTCTCAAAATAAAAAATAAGGGCTGGGGATATAGGTCAGTGTGAAGGCTCTGAATTTCAACCCCTCACGCTCACTAAAAGGCTTTTATTGTTTTTGTTGGGGTTTTTTGTTTTTTTTTTTGTCTTTTTGAGACAGGGTCTCGCTATGCAGTTCAGGCTGGCCTTGAGCTCACTTTGTAGCCCAGGCTGGCCTCAAACTTGCAACGATCCTCCTGCCTCAGCCTTCCGAGTGCTGGGATTACAGGCGTGCACCAAATCCCAGCACTTGGGAGGCTGAGGCAGGAGGATTATTGCTTGTGAGTTCGAGACTGGGCTACAAAGTTAGGTCAAGGCCAGCCTGAACTATATAGTGAGATCCTGTCTCAAAAGAGACAGGAAAAAAAAGCATAAATAATATTTATAAAATACAACATAAGCTTAAAAAGTAGAAAGCAATAAATCTCCACAGTTAAATCACAAAGACATCTAGACATCCTCTGTCTTATGTCTATTTCCTTTCCACTTTATATTAATTAATATTTTTCTTTAATATAAATTCTCAAACATGTAATTTTATCAAGTACATAAATTACTGTGGAACATTCAGACTATTTCTTTTCCTTTGCAATTAAATAACACTGTAACATTGTGCTTATTAATCATTTGGGTATTTAGTTTCCTGGGATACACGGTTAAAAAATCAAAGAAAACACACGAACTACCAAAGTGCTTCTGCAGAGGGGTGGTCAGAGTTGTGTCAATACCTTGACACCGAATACCCTCTCCACGCACCCAGTGGGGACTGACATTCGTCAGGTAACCACTCCTTTATGTTTCTGTCAGTTTTTTTTTTTGTACTGAGAATGGAACTCAGGACCTTGTGTTTGCCAGGAAGGTGCTTGTGCTGCTGAGCTATAGCCCCAGCCCTCCTTTACATTTCTGATACTTGCTGTTTTTGAGGGGTGTATGTAATCTTTTCTGTTGAATAGCATTTTTTTGGGGGGGACAGGGTCTTGCTGTGCAGTTCAGGCTGGCCTTGAGCTCACTTTGTGGCCCAGGCTGGTCTTGGATCCTCCTGCCTCAGCCTCCTGAGTGCTGGGATTACAGGTATGTGCCACCACGCCTGGCTGAATAGCATTTTTTTTTTTTTGGTACCGGGAATCAAACTCAAGACCTTGTGCTTGCCAGGCAGGCGCTCTGCTGCTGAGCTAAATCCCCAGCCCCCCTGAATAGCATTTTAACTGTGCTTTTCCCGTTGTTATTCCTACTGAGAATATTTTTGTTTGTGCACTGCACATTAATGCTGTTTACGTCAATCACTTTGCTAAGAGTGCCTTCCCCACTCACGATCCCCTGCCTCCAGCCTCCCACATTCTGCCAGCACTACGGGTTTCTAGAGAACTCAGTAATTACTTAAGACCTTTTCTTCTCTCTTAAAGGATTTAAAAACAGTTATTGTTTTATATGAACTTTATTTTACCTTTTATTTTAACCCAATAGTGCACTTTAAGGTATAGGCATATTTAATAAATAACTCACCAATAGTGGTTGAGAAAAGAGTTCTAGTTGAGCTCTGTAAATGATATCATCAAGAACTTCCTGGCCAAGGTCCCACTGTCCATTATACCTGTGGAAAAGGAGAAAATTTACTGGGTTTTTGCTTTATTTTTTTGTTTGTTTGTTTTTTTCTTCCGGTACCAGGAATTCAGCTCATGATCTTGCGCTTGCCAGGCAGGCGCTGTGCCACTGAGCTAAATTCCCAGCACCCTTTACTGGGTTTTTGTTGTTTACTTTTGAGACAGGGTCTGGCTATGTAGTCAGCCCAGCCATGAACTCACTATGTAGCCCAGGCTGGCCTCAAACTTGGGGCAATCTTCCTGCCTCACCTTCCCAAGTGCTGGGATCACAGACATGCGCTACCACGCCTGGCCAACTTGTCATCTTTAGCAAGTATCTCTAATCTTTAACAAAACTTACTTTGTTTTTGTGTTTCAAGACAGGGTCTCACTGTGTAGTTCAGGCTGGCCTCAAACTTGGGGCAATCCTCCTGCCTCAGCCTCCTGAGTCATGGGGTTACAGGTGTGCACCACCATGCCGGGAAAAACACAACTTTTTATGTTTTAAATTTTTATTTTATTTTATTTTATTTTTGTCATCTTGAGACAGGGTCTCACTATGCAGTTCAGGTTGGCCTTGAGCTCACTTTGTAGCCCAGGCTGATCTCAAACTCACAATGATCCTCAAGCCTCAGTCTCCCAAGTGCTAGGATTACAGGCGTGCGCCACCACGCCTGGCTCCACTACTTTTTTATTGTTCCAAGTCCTACTATTGCAGTTTTAAAACACGCTGTTTCATACCAGTCCTGAGTGCTGGGATTACAGGTGTGTACCACCGTGCCCAGACACTCCTATTTGTTTGTAAACTGTCCTAATTTGGAGTATAATAAGAAAATGAAGATTTCAAAACCATGTTTTAAGTAGTTTAGAGGCAGGGGTGGTGACCTTGTTTCAAGAAGCCAAAAACAAAAAGTTTCTTCATATAAACTATCTTCTATGTTTTGATATTCTGAGTAACCTAATTCATACATTCATGAAATCTTGGGTTATAAACAATGTACATACATACATAGTTTTCTACACAGAAAGCCTCACAATTCCTAAGATGATTCCAATTTAAGTATCTAATTATGTTATACAATGGCTATTTAAAAAGTACTGAAAACAAATCATATTGGAAAAACAAGATTTTTGTTCCACTATGCAACGAATAATTCTGTATTATTTCTGATAAAAGAAGAAAGGAAATATGAAGAATATCCAAACATTAGGAAGAGTTCATGAATTGCATATTCCACCTACTTACATGGCATAATAAACCCCTGTGAGAAGCTGCACCATAAATTCAGGATCCAATACTATTCGACCACAGAGTTCTTTCCAGTGTTTTTCATGTTGTCGAGGAAACCCACTCACACAAACCCTGGGGAAATACAGTATTTACCATTTGTGATTTCCTGATTCAGAAATTAACTTTTTTGCTTTCATAATCTCACTTATCCAATTGTTCATCTTCAAGTATTTAATGACGCCTGGCATATGTCATTACCCTGGGCCCAGGATACAGTCATAAACAGGTGAAAGACTGAAATGTGTGCTTTTATACAGCCTGCATCCTACTGGACTTTCATCTGTAAAGCAGTAAATTTTTCTCAAGCAGCTAACAACTTCTTTGACAAACACTCCCCTTCCCTTGTCAAACACATACACGCCTTTTATTCACCTCAAATTTTATCACAGAGAACTACTAAGTGCAGAAATCATCTCAAAGAGATGTTTCAAAATACTGTCTGTAAAGCCAGTTTTACTTACTTGACACTTTTATGGTTTTATTTAAGCAGAATAAAATGTGCACATGAGCCATTTATTCACTTTGGCACCACGCAGCCCAGCACTGGCACTGGTGCTTCTGATGCCAGCCTGGGCTGCTCCTTCCCGATAGGAAGCTGGGCGAGCGGTCTCAGATAGCAAGGCTACTGCTCAGTGGCGCACTCCAGCTCCTCCAGGCTATAGGCAAGGACACCCAGAAGCCAGTAGGCAGAATGGGCTTTGTTTCCTCCTTGCTTCCATAACTAAGATCTATCCTTGAATCTCTGTGCCCTGTGATCAGTATCCCAGGTTTCTTCCAGTTACACGTGTTCTGGCGCATCCGTGTGAGCCATGGCAAATGAATTTATGGCTCCTCTTCCTGCAGCTCTGGGCAGTGAAGAGTCTGAGAGCAGTCTCGACGCCCACAGGAGATGCTGCCACCTCAAAGGTATGAGAATCAGAGAGCTGGGGGCTGTTTCCAATCAACGAACCATGAACCTTCCCTACCTTCCATCCATCCCACTGAGATCCTTCCAAAAATACTACTCTTAATAATTATCAAATGTGTAATGTGCTTTTATTATCTTACTAAATTAATTTTTAGTATTTAGTACCTTATGGCCTCAATAAATTTTCAAAAATTTCATATATACACACATATATTAACTACAGCTAAGTGACTACTAAAATATTCCAAGTTATCAATGGCATTACATTAAGATACAATAGTGTGGGGAAAGTGGAGTAGAAATTCAGTTTTAAGAAGAAAAAGCAATAGCATAATGACAGACTATTAAAGAAGAGGCCTGCTCGTGTATTCTTCAGCAGATGCTGGTGTGTAGCAAACCTTTCGTGGTACTTTACATACATTTCAAATAACCCAGTGGGCTCTCTGACTCTCGCTTTCTCAAGTCCATGTGTGGACTGCAAGCCAAGAAGAGCACCTTCACCGGGAACCTAACTGGCCAGCACCTGGATCGTGGACTTTCCAGTCTCCAGAACTGTAAGAATAAACTGCTATTGTTTCATCCCAAACATAAATAACCCAATGGTTATTAAAAATTATCCCCCAGCAGGCATGGTAGCACACGCCTGTAATCCCAGCACTGGGGAGGCTGAGGCAGAAGGATCACGTGCGAGGTTGAGACGAGCCTGGGCTACAAAGTGAGTTTAAGGCCAGCCTGAACTGCATAGCAAGATCCTGTCTCAAAAAGACAAAAACAAAAAACAAAAAACAAAAAACAAAACAAACAAAAAAATTACCTCAATGTTTACATATTGGAAATTGTATCATATACAACTAAAAAGATAGAAAAATGTTGAAGCTAGGCAAGGTGGTACACACCTGTAATCCCAACTACTTGGGAGGTAAAGGCAGGAGAATCTCATGTTTAATAGCAAACCTGGTAGCTCAGTGGGAAAGGGTTTACTTATAGCACATTCAAGCCCCTGGGTTCAATACCTGGCACTACCGCAAAAAAAAAAAAAAAAAAAAAGATGAGAAACATAAAATGTCAGCTTAAAAATGTATAAAAGGTACTAAGCTTCTCAAAATTCTTTAGGGAGATACGTAAACAAGTGTTAGAGGACTAGTAGCCTTTTGTTACTAAGAAATCATTAAAGATGATACTAATGCTCCCAGTAAGAGGCCTGGCATGTTTCTTTTAATTTTTTTTTTTTTTTGGTTTTTCTCTGGTACCGGGAACCGAACTCATGACCTTCCGCTTGCCAGGCAGGCGCTTTTGCCACTGAGCTAAATCCCCAGCCCCTGTTTCTTTTAATTAATCCAAAACAGCCACTTAATAAATTTATCTGTAGATGGAAGAGAAGGGCTTAAACAATGCACTTTCTAGAAAACAGAATCTAAGTTAACAACAACTATGTTAACCATTAATATTATTAGAGGCTCATTTAAAAATATTATCAAGGCAGTCATACATTTACTTCAGAGAATCTGTAAAATCACTGATGGAACATCTAGACTGGGTTTCTCTCAATTAGCAAAATTAATGTTTTGTGATAAAAAGGACCACTCTTCCCAGTAACACAAAGCATGCAAATGTGGCCCAAGTATTTGCTATGCTCCTTTCTAGGATTTGCATCCTGCCTCCTCAAGGCAGAGCTGTAACTTGCTTCCAACAAAAGGCTGCAAAGTCATTAAAAGTTCACAATCTCAGGATTCTGTGGACTAAGATGCTCAGCCCGTGGCTTGGAGAAGCAGGCTGCCACACCACAGGGTTGTGGTGCCGGGAGGTCCATGCGGCGTGGAGCTGTGGGTGGACCAAGCCCTTAGTCCTCCGGGCACAGACAGGATTCTGCCCACAGAGTGCCAACCTGGGCAAGAGACTGCAGCTCCAGAGGATGCCCTCCTTCCAGTCTGGCAAGCCCTAAGCAGAGTACCCAGCTAAGCCGACCTAGATTCCTGGCCCCTACACACCGTGAAATCACAAATGTGTCATGTTTTAAAAAAGATGAGTAATCTGTTATGCAGCAACAGAAAACTAATACACTATTCAACCTTTTGGAGGGGTCAGTTTCCTCAAGTAAAAATCAGTTGGACAGGATAAACTTGGAGCCAAAATTCTGGGACTTTACATTACTTAAATCTTTTTCTATAGTGGAAATTTAAATTTTAGCCAAGTATGTCCAAATTATTAGAAATTCTGATTGAGATTATAATCAATGAGACACACAGAAGCACCCCCACATACATCAGCACACACACAAGCACAGAGATAACTGGTATCGTGGCTATGTTCTCTCCAACACTGGGACAGTTATCTATGAAATGTATAAAAGGAAGTTCTAGATTTTTCCCCAAGTACAACCCTTTGAACCTTGGAAAGAGGACCTGACCAATCCAGACCCAGAGATAGGAAACTATTTACTCAACACTCTCAACACAAGTTATAAAATGTGCCGTCTAGGAAATGGTATCACTAGACAATCCTAAACTTAGATGTTTTGACCTAAGTCCTGTTCAAGCAGGAAATACTCCTTTTATGCTAAAATAATTTTCAAGAAGTCAAGAGGGATAATACATCTTCCTATAGGGACATAAATTCTGTTAACTGCTGTGCCATGAGAGATTGGAATACAGTCTGGCTAATAACAAACTCGGTAAGTATTTGTCAAATGAATGAATATGAAAGTTGACAATAATTACTCTTCTCACCTGGAGCCCATCTGACAAAGGGACTGGTAAGAAGAGGCCGGCATATACACAATGGCAGAGTTATAACACAGCATGAGAAAACTCAGGACTTCAAACCTAGGGAGAGAAAAAGGAAAAAGTCTTACAAAAAATATTTCTGCCAGAGTCTGCAGTAAATTATCTATTTAGGGGATAGTTATAATATTGCCTTCATATTGATCTTCACAATTTCTCAGGCAGATATTACAGCAGCTTCCTCAGTGGTGTCTGTATCTACATCCTCTGCTGCCTTCTCTATGTTTTCTTTGAAACAAATCACCATGCCATCAAAAGAAGCCTATCTCCCTCCCGACTGTACCATAAAATCCAAACCTCACAGTCTTTAAAGTCACCCTCAACCCATACATTCAGTCTTATTCCCTCCACTGCCTCCATGCATACCACACGTTGCTCCTCCTACCATCCCACGAATATGTCATCAACTTTCCTAACCCCCGTGCTTTTATGCTTGTTGCTCCATCTTGCTAGTATATACCTTTTCTTTTCGTGTTGTGCTAGGCATATGCCCTACCACTGAGCTACACCCTAGTGCAATGGTGGCGAACCTTTTAGAGCTTTCAGTGATGACAAACAGCCTGCTGCAGTATGTGTACCCTACGTTTGCCACCACTGCTCTAGTGCATTAGTCACTTCTTTAAATCTGTAACCTACACAAGCTTCTCCACATGTTAAGCACATTCATAATGATAGTACTGCTGGGTCTGTTGTACAAATGCTATGTGGAATACAGATGTCCAAAGAAAAATATTTGTTTTTACTTAAGAGAGCCTCAGTGGAAGACCAGAGGATGGCCTGATCAGTAACTAATTCTGCCGTGGCCCAAAAGAAGCCTGGCCTTTGCTTCTAGGAAGTAATCTATGTCATATCTGATAAAAGCATCTGTTTAGGGCTGGGCCTGGTAAAACAAATTATGGTGGCCCTATCTACATATGACCTTTCTAGGGGGACTGGCCACACCAGAAAGAACCACCATGTGCTTTAATGTAGAGACTTCAGATCACCTGTATCAGCTGGCAAGGAGACCAGGATTGACCTCACGACTAATTAATCTAATAATTCATGCCTATATAATGAAGCCTCCACCAAACCTGGATACCACAGCTTGAGAGAACGTCCCTAGAGATCAACACACTCTGCACTGTCACACATTTGGGTCCTGATTCCCTGGCAAAGCACAAGTCTTCCCACACTTGACCCTACACATTTCTCCCTTTGGCTAACTTTAATCTGTATCTAAGCCCTAAAATACACCTTAACTCTTGAGTATAAAAGTTTTCAAGGAATTCTGAGTCTTTCTTATACCTTATTAAACAAGAGGGTGCAATAGCAAACACTGAATTGCTATTAGAAATGAGGACAGGCTAGGGATGGGCAACTTTGCAGTTTGTCTGATTTCTGGTACTAGTTCCAATCTACAATCCAAAAAGCAAGGTGTAGAAGTGATAAAAAACAAAACATAAAAAAACAACCAAAAGCAAGGTGTAGACAGCAAATAAATAGCTTGAAGGGCAAGTCTTTAAACTGCAACACTAAAACATGAGTCTTGGTTTGGCTGACTCCCTGCCCAGACTTTGACTTCTTACACAAGATGACCATAACTTAATACTAACACCAGAGAGAAGTTATTTTACTGTGACTCAAGAAACTCTTATCCAAAACACCTGGGACAAGAAATATTTCAAATTCTGGATTCTTTAAAAACAATTTTTAAAGCCGGGCATGGTGGTGCATGCCTGTAACCCCAGTATTCGGGAGGCTGAGGCAGGAGGATTGTTGCAAGTTCAGAGATCAGTGTGGGCTACAAAGTGAGCTCAAAGCCAGCCCCAACTGCATAGCGAGACCCTATCTCGAAAAAAAAAATTTTGTTGAGTTCGAGACCAGCCTGGGCAACCAAGTGAGCTCAAAGCCAGCCTGAATTGCATAGTGAGACCCTATTTCAAAAAGACAAAAAAAAAACCACCAAACAAAATTTTTTTTGGATTTCAGAATGTTTGTGTACATATAATGCGGTATCTTAGGGATGGGGCCCAATCTAAAGACACATTCATTTATATTTCATGTATTCCTTACACAGAGCCTGAAAGTAATTTTATACAATATTTAGTGCACTGCCTTCTGATTGTGTCCCAGTCACATGAGGTCAGGTGTGGAATTTTCTAATCGTGGTATCAGGTTGGTACTCAGAAAGTTTCAGATCTTAGAGCATTCTGAATTTCTGATATGCAGATTAGTGATGCTCAACCTATTTAAGAACTCATTTCATCAGTGTGAAGTAGTCAACTTTTGGATTCTTCTTGTATCAAACTTCAACTGAAGTAATTACAGTCACTTACTATGCCTAAGTTCGCAATCATTACTCTATAGGTTTGACTATTACCGGTTCTGCGCAGTGAATGTTTCTCTCTGAGGATGAAGATCACTGTAAACAACTCTGATGAGGTCATGCTGACACAAAGCACCTTCCGTCAAAGCCATGGACCCAATCGTTGAGGGCTACAAAAATAAGGCACAGTATGAGGCAGGATCTTTAAGATCAAGTACTCCTCTGCATCATGGAATCATATTTCATTTTGTTTAAATAAAAAGCACATTCAGATAATTTATTTCTCTTTCAAAACCTTTTCTACTTCTCAATTATACAAGTCCTACAGCTTCTTTGGGAAATTATGTGTGTAAAATATATGAAATAAAAATATACTGCTTAAGTATTTAAAGGTTGTAGAACGGTTCCATATTTAGGAAAGAATAAGAAAAATTCTGAAAAGACTAAAGGTTAAAAATAAATCAATTTTAATTTGCTTGTACCAGAACACCGAATATAACCACCTGTCATTATACAATGCAAACAAACATTAAAGACTGTGATCAAAGGGTTCTTTATTTTGTTTTGGTTTTGTCTTTTTGAGATGGGGGTCTCACTATGCAGTTCAGGCTGGCCTTGAGCTCACTTTGCAGCCCAGGCTGGTCTCAAACTTACAACAATCCTCCTGCCTCAGCTTCCAAAGTGCTGGGATTACAGGCATGCACCACCACGCCTGGCTACCAAGGGGTTATTTAAAACTGACATAACTGATTTCATGTTTCTCAATTTAGAAGAGCCACCTATTCATTAGTGCTTTACTACCTTCCATTTTATTTCATAACATGATACAAAGAACTTAGTTAAAATCTATTACTCTGAAATCTTCTATGCTAAAATGAGTCTAGGCTAAATAAGAGACACTCTATTTCTAACACCAAAGTCCCACAGGAATTAATTAAGAAAACCAGCTACACACAGCTATGAAACAAGCAGGCTATTGTGTGTTGACAGGAAAATAGGATATGATTTTTAGAGCAAAGTTCTTTAAATGCTTTCTTCACAACAACTTTGTGCCCTAACGGCCACTTAGAAACCACAAGCTTGATTGGATTCATAATATACTCCTCTATTGGATTTTATTAAGAAAGCAGGAAGGAAGAATTCAGCGTAACAGGGATCATCTATCTACCTCTACAGGCAAATGTTCTTGTTTCCTTCACCAGAAGTATGTTACTGAACAGCTAGAATATGTCTAGACTCTTTTACACGGAAATACAAGTATTAACATTCTTCGAAGTTATTTACCTAAAGAATAAAAATGAATTAATCTAACAGATAATTTTGAAGCAATATAAAAGACCTTAAAATACAATACTTTTGAAAATTCATTAAAAATTAACGAAGTTAAAAATGCTGATGGAAGAATAAAAAATAAACAAGGACTAGAGGTAAGTCTTCCATTAATTACTTTCTACCACTCTTAACACAGCTTAGTTTTATTAATAACAATCATCTACTTCTAAGAAACAGGCCAGAAGATAGGTCAGTAAAGGAATACTCATCTGTAAAAAATTGCATGTCTTCCTCAACATAATTGTAAACAATTCCATCTTTCCAATGTTACTCACCTCATGATAAATTGAAGGCTTGGATAAGGAAGGGATAGTGAAAGACAAAACCTTATTGTTTCCATCTTTATCAGCAATTTCCTATAATCAAAAAATATGCAAAGATAATGAAACAATCAAATAACCAGAGATCTATAAGACATATTTTCTTAATTTACAGAATATAGCATTAGGAACTAAGAAAGATTTTTAGAAACAGTAATATATAAAAGTATTACTACCTATCATATCTTCTCTAACTAGTACAGTTCTAACCCAGACAGAGATAGCACAATTCTACACTAACAGTAACAGCACAACAGCCAAGACAAAAAGCAGGCACACAAATCAACCATTGTGTTAAATTTACATACAGAACAGGGAGATCGATTAGATTGTCTAGAAGAATCAATGAGCAAAGTATGTATTAAAATTAAAGATCTTCAACAAGAGATCCACATTTTCCAAAATACAAAAACCATAGTGTTCTAACACAGAATGGTTTTTTCCAGTTTTATCAATGTATAGACAAATTTAGTTCATGGTGTACAATGTGATATTCTGATGCATCTTCACAATCATGCTAAATCATTATCACAATCAAGCTAATTAATATTTTCTATGGTGAAAACATTTAAGAATTAATCCCCCCCCACTCGGTACTGGGAATCAAACTCACGACCTCGCGCTTTCCAGGCAGGCGCTGTGCCGCTGAGCTAAATCCCCAGCCCCTCAAGAATTAATCTTGAATAAGAAACTTGTATGACTACTCAGCAATAAAGCTTACCTGAAATAAACTACATGTTAACATAACCAAGAAAGGTCCAAGTAATTAAGAATGAATTGGTACTTAGATAATTTCTGCTGAGCTCTAAGAAAATTCTCGTGATTCTAAATTTTTCTTTATGATTGCTTAAAAAATATATTATTTCTTTGTTAAAGGACAATATTGCTCTTTACGTCCCCTCTCTTCCCGGGCTGTAAATAAATACCTCCCACAGTCAGCATGGAGGGGCCAAACACTGCTGCCTCTCTCCTCCCTCTGCTCACACTCTTCTCTTACCCCTGCGGTACTATACACGCTGGGGTGGATGGAACCCACAGAGAGGAATTTCCTTAGCACACCAGGACCAACTGCACAGCATCAAAGAAGCAATAATGAAACAGCTGCCACCACCAAAATACAGCCTCACTGCCGAACAGGACTCATCTCTGAGTGCCCGGGTCACAGGGGAGCACCAATTATTTCTGAGCAATAACAACACACCTCTAATTTTGGCAAGGAGATACCCTAGGTAGATCATGCAACTTCTCTGCAGTCAAAGGAGGTACCACCAAAGCTGGTCCATCTTACTTCAGAGCGTTTAAGCTAAGATGAAGGGGCCTGATTAAAGTTAGGCCCAAAGCTTTAAATTTTATTCCTAAATTTTCAATGAAGCCATATTCTGTTGATTTATCTTTGCATGTATTTGTGGAAGACAGAAAGCTGAACCTTGCTAAGGGCAGTACAAAACTCCCCTGGGCTGTTGAGGCAAACCAGATTTGAGAGAAGAGGGGGAAAAAGAGAAATGTGCAAACAGGAAAAACCAGTACGGTTTAGGAACAAGAAACAGAAGGCAGAGAAGGCAGAGGGACAAGGTGGCAGGACAGAAACCAACCAGAGAACCACAGAGAAAAGAGACACAGATATCAAGGAATTAAAACCAGTTGGGAGCCTGAGGACACACTTCTGACACATAACTGGACATGTTTTTTCAGTACACTACTTGGGAGGTGTCAAAAGATTAAAAGAATCCAGTGCAGTGGCTCACGCCTCCTACATGCATCCCAAGTGCTGGGAGGCTGAGTCAGGAAGATAGCACTGAGTTTGAGGACAGCCTAGACTATATAGTGAGTTCAAGGTGAGCCTGAACTACATAGTGAGACCCTGTCTCAAAGAAAAAAAGGTAATTAAACCCAGCACCAAAAAGTACTGCCAGTAACTTGTCACATCATCTGCTTTGCAAAATAGTTTCATCTATCTCATTAGTGAATGTTTTTACACTAAATAAATGAACATAAATGACAGCTTAATGATAAACCACTAAGCTGAATTTTTATATCAACAAATATTTACTAAGTGTCTATAATAAGCCCTATAGGAAACCCAGTGATACAGAAAACAAATTTTCTACCCTAAAAGAAAATACATGCCAAGAATGGTGGCATACACTTATAATCCCAGCACTCCTGAAGGCTGAGGCAGGAGGAGCACAAGTTCCAGCCCTGCCCAAGCAGCTTAGTAAGACCCTGTCTCAAAATAACACAATAAAAAAGATGGGCATGTAGCTAAGTACAAAAGCCCTAGGTTCAATTCCAAGCACTACCAAAAGAAAAAGAAAAAAAGAATGAAGAGAAAAAAACAGGTAAGTTAGGAAAGTAGAGAATTTCATTCCAACACTAGCTTTTCATTTAAAAGGGAACTACTTTTAGCCAGGTATGGCGGCACATGCCTGTAATCCCAGTACTCGGGAGGCTGAGGCAGGACGATTGCCTCTGCCTCAAGTTCGAGGCCAGCCTGGGCTACAGAGTGGGTTCAAGGCCAAGCTGAACTACACAGTGAGACCCTGCCTTGAAAAAACAAAATAAAGCAAAACAAAAAATCCAAACAAAAATTATGATGATAAAAACAAACATTTATTAAACACCTTAAACACAATAACACTTTTTTTGTTTCTGTTGACAGAAGTCAAGGTACTGAGTAACCTGCTCCTATTTAAAATCACTAGTTTGTTATATGTGGTTTCTACAACAACCACTGAGAAGAGTCAATGATTATTTGATTTATCACTCATGTACAGCTCTATTTGTTTTCCCTAGAGACCACTTTGGAGAATCCAAGCTATAGTATAACAACCATTGATAATTTCCTGCCATTTTTGTCTGTAACTCACTATTATTTGTCTGTTTGTTTTCCTGAGAAATTATTTTGAAGATACCAATAGGGAAAATAACAAGCATTGATAATGTCCTACCACTTTGTCTATAATTTGGTGAATCCCCCTACTGCTATGCTGTCCTTCTTTTACTCTTTAAAATAAAAAATAAAATAAAATCACTAGTAAGCAGCAGAACACAGTTCTGAACTGAACACCAGTGACCCTAACGCCCACACCTCTTCCTTCTGATGTCTGACAGTGGAAATGCTTCCCAGTGATGAAGACTCAGAGAAGTGAGCACTGGGCAGCAGAATATTTATTATTTATTATTGAGAGACAATAATAACATTTATTATTGTGAGGCTTAATTTTCTGGTACTTTATTACCTCTCAACTATAAAAGTAAAGTCTATCATGTGGAATATTTAAGAAAGTGTACTAGATACACAGAATCCAAGACTTCGAATGGCAGGAAATTCAGTACAAATGTCCTAAAATGGACATCAAGAGCAAAAGCAAAATACTAATGTGTTAAAGTACTTAACAATTCCTTAGGCTGGGCCTGGTGGTGCAGGCCTATAATCCCAGCACTTGGGAGGTTGAGGCAGGAAGACCGCTATGGCTCAGGCCAGCCTGAACTACACAGCGGGAGGCTGTCTCAAAAAAAAGAATTCCTTTCGAGGAGTTGCATAAACAATGTAGTATCAAATTTTTTACCAAGTACTAAATTTACAAGCTGCACTGGGCATGGTCATGCATGCCTGCAGTCTGAGTTATACAGGAAGCTGAGGCAGGGGGAATCACTTAGCCCAGGAGTTGTAGATCAGCCCTGGCAACATAGCCAAATCCTATCTCAGAATAACAAAATTTTACAAGTTGCTAATCAAATTATTATGACCAAACTACATTGTGGAGGAAGAAAAACTACACTTTGAACTGGAAATTTATACAAGTCAGCTTTATATCATAAAGGTGAACTGAAGTGTGTCTTATGCCAGTCTCTTCTCAGTCATGTCCCTCACTGACCCCAAGCCACATTCACCAAAATTACACTCCCTTGTGGGTGAGTCCAGGTAAACATCCAACGCCAGCACCAAGGCAGAGGGTGCAGCAGGTGCTGCCCCACCTCCCGGCACTGCTGGCACAGGGAGAGCCTTGCCAGCCACCCTACAGAGGCTTCGCTGGCTCTCTGTGTCTTCCAGCCCTCCCGGCCCTTCCATCAGCCTGAGAGCTCCTCCCTCCCACGCTCAGGCACCTCCCATCTGGAAGAGCGATCTTGCCCCAGCCTTCAGGCTCGCTGAACACCAGAGCATCTCTGAAATGCATGTGGTTTCTTTCCCCCGTCTCATTCCCACTGTGTCCATGCTCAGACTTGTACAACTGGACTTCTCCCCATTAACTGATATACCTCTCCTTAGAGGCAGAAATCCCACAGCTGCTTCCCCACTCTTCTCAGTTACATATACTAACTTCAAATATAAGAATGGTGATTAAATGAAACTTCTAATTCCAGAGTTTCATTATCTTAATACACTGTAGTTTTTTTTTCCTCTCAAAACTTTCTAATTACTTTCCCATTAAGGAAAACTTAAACTCCTCCTTTCAAAAACACTCTCTAAAACTGATAGGAAGTATCTTCCCTAGCTTGCATATATATCCTGTGCTTCAAACATAATTATTTCCTTTTGTCAAGAACAATTTGACTTTCTCGCCTTTGATTACTTCCTCCTAAAATTATCACCTAAAATTACCATTCTACTCCTAATTTCAGCCAACACAAAATCTCTTTGTAAAGCCCAGCAAATGCGGGCCATAAATTCAGTTACTTTAATATACATTTTTTTTTTCTTCTTCCTCCTCCTCTTCCTCCTCCTTTTTTTGGGGGGGCGTTCTAGAGACCAGGTCTCACTCTGTAGTCCAGTCTGGCCTCGAACAGTCCTCCTGCCTCAACCTCCCAAGTACTGGAATTATAGGCGTGTACCACCACACTCAGCCCACTTCAGCTAACATTTGAATTTCTCCCTGAAATCTTCTTTCCACACAAACTTTGTACAATTTAGTCATCTGTAAGCATGTCTTCTCCAGCAGAGTAAAAGTGTCCTAAAAACAGGTACCATTTCTAAGTCTGTATTTTCAATGTTCAACTCTGCCCTACACAGCCCTCATATTAGTCAAACACTGTGAAATAAGTCTTGGGCTAGGGATGTAGCTTAGGGGCACAGCACCTGCTTGGCAAGTGCAAGGCCCTGAGTTTGATTCCTGGTACTAAAAAACAAATTATCAAAAAAAACAAAACATGTCTAAAGAAATAGATCCTTAGATATTAACAATCCCATCAATAATAGTTTCATCTATTTTCTAAAATGCTTATTGTTACTTGTGAACTCAATTTAATTAGTTCAAATAAATTATTCAGCAGTCTATTTTTCTCTAAACAGTCCTTACATGTTATTTTAGGGGACTTTAAAAAATGTTTTAAATTTCTCAAACTGTTATTTTCAACTTACCAAATTGTAAATTCCTAACAGAAGTGCTTCAATGCAACCATTACTCTGTCTGTCTCGGCTAACTGTAAGCCGCAAATAAACCCACATCAATTCTGGCAAGAACTGCAGTGTGAACCGCTTAAGTCGAACCTCAGAACTACGATAGAGTTCAAACAGCTGATGGCAGACAGGCTCCAGGAGCTGAAAGGGAAAAAAGTGCATCAGTTATTTCCTTTTTGGGGTCTGTAATTGTATTCTTTAAAAGGCACACATAACCTGTATAGTATTTTAAAAATAAATTCTTTTTTTTGTTTTGTTTTTGTCTTTTTGAGACAGGGTCTTGCTATATAGTTCAGGCTGCCCTTGAGCTCACTTTGTGGCCCAGGCTAGTCTCAAACTTCCAATGATTCTCCTGCCTCAGCCTTCCAAGTGCTGGGATTATAAGAGTGCACCACCACGCCTGGTTCAAAAATAAATTCTTAATATTAATTTCTCCACAGTTTGAGAATTCAACCAAATCTCCACTTGGAGACCACATATTAAACTGACCAATCCACTAACAGAGTACTTTTGTCCGTATAACATCACGTTTTTTAATATACTGTACTACCAAAGCAGACAATTAGCCTTTTTATTATCTACATTTATATTTCTCTTTCTGTTCTTAGCAACTCTGCCCATCATCCATTTTTTTTCTTGAGACAGGGTCTCACTATGCAGTTCAGGCTGGTCTTGAACTTACTATGTAGCCCAGGCTGGCCTCGAACTCACAAGATCCTCCTGCCTCAGCCTGCAAGTGTTGGGATTTCAGGGGTGCACTACCACACTCAGCTCACCATCATCCATTTTAAACAGTTTCCACTACAATAAAATAATTTCTATCGCTCTTGCTAGAAATAAACTTCATATCTTCAAGTGAGACTATGATTTAAACAAACTACATACCACTCATTAGGGGAAGAGATTTTGCAATACATACTATTTGGGCTAAAATTCTAGCTAATATTTTAAATACGTATCAGTAAAACAAACTGATTATATTTGGATTTTAAAACATTTAAATTTTCACTAATTGTATTTATTTGAAAGATTTCAAAAGGAAATAAAGTATGAAGAAATAGTGTTTTCAATGTTTAACTGGCACGCACCAGGGATATATAGCTCAGCAGCAGAACGCCTGCCTAGCAAGCATGAGGTTGCGAGTTTGATTCCTGGTACCAAAAAAAAAAAAAAAGAAAATGTTTAACTGGCTAATTGTCCATATGCTATCACAGAAAATAAATTATGAGAGATGTAAAACTTAAAAGGAACAGTTACAATTAGTGACAATTTGAATGGTTTTGTTGGCTTAACTGCAGAATGAACAAAACTGTGACTTTTAAATGCTTATCTAAAACTAATCAGAAAGTATAAAGTAGTGTGTGTGTGTGTGCACACATGTGTATATACTTTTTTCTGACAGGATCTGGCTATACAGTCCAGGCAGGCCTCAAATTCATGCTCTTTCTGTCTCAGCCATCATGCCTGGCTAGTATGTTTTTAATTTAAAATTTAACCCTAACTCTTTAAAAAATGAATAATGGAATTCATACGCTTACTTCTAAACGACTAGAATAACACATTTAGAAATCTGCTTGAATGGAGGTATATATGTCTGTAATAATCTAATACTCTAGAACAAAGTCACTACTTTCACAACTGTAAAATTAAAACTCCACGAAACTATGCTGATTATACAGTTAACATTAGGTAAGTTCAGTGTGGCTCTTGAAAAACACTCTTCCACGAAACTATGCTGATTATACAGTTAACATTTAGATAAGTTCAGTGTGGCTCTTGAAAAACAATCTAAGGCTTAAAAAACTTCACACACACACACATAGAGTAAATACTATGTTCTTTACGTAAAATTACTGTCAGGGTAGTTTAAAACTTAAAAACTATTGCAGCTCTCTCCTTACTGAAGTCTAGGCCAGTCAGACAATCTGTAGCAGAGGAGGATGCTAAATTCAGGTATTGTAACATCAAGTCAAGTGTTTCCACTCTACCACATTTGTTAAAATGGAATGGAGGTGGCAGTTGGCTAATTATAAAAAGTATACTCCACTCAGCACCAACAGTGAACGTAAGCTTTTGAAAATAGTCAACTGCTAGAATCTACCTTAAATGCTCACAGCACTACTCAGCTCTTCTGAGGAGTTAAAGGTTGTGGCAATTTTCATAAATACATTAAAAATACATACCTAGGACTCACACTCACTGTCCTCTTCTGAGAGGTAAGGACTGTGACTGTAACGGATTTCTAACTGATGGTTGGCTTGTGATCCCCAGCTGAACTGAATAAGCATGGTGCTGAGAGTGGGAGGCCCACCTCCCACCCATTGTTGCCATCAGCGTAAGAGGTAGAATTGGAAAAAGATAACACATTAATTACTAAAACGTTTGTTATCCGCCTACTTGTTCTAGTTACGTTATTGATTCTGGCTCAATAAAAGGTGATTGTAATTGGTAATCGGGGCTGCAGTCCAAGAGGTTGTAAACCCTCTGATCCCAGGCTTCTGCCTCTCTTGTTTTTCTTGTCTCTCTTTACTTTTTCTATTCATCCGTGGGCACCTCCTTCTCGGGACCTGTCACTATAGATAGAACCACACTCTTCAGTAAAAGACTCATGAAAGATTGACTTCTCTAAATTTCATGGGCGGGCTGGGGATTTAGCTCAGTGGCACAGCACCTGCCTGGCAAGGGTGAGCTCCTGAGTTTGATTCCCGGTACCGGAAAAAAAACAAACAAAATAAATAAATAAATTTCACGGGCCACAATACGACTACTGTAAATTTCATTATAAAGACCTTAATCCCTTTTTCTCAGTAGTAAACGGTAATGGAATATAGAATCCTATAACTAGGCACAGTGAAGAAATAGTTTCCAAAATTATCACTATTTTTTCTTCTTTTTTTCTATGTAGCTCAGGCTGGCCTCAAACTCATAGTGATCTTCTTGTCTCAGCCTCCCAAGTGCTGGGATTACAAGTGTGCACCATACTGTTATTTTTTTAAAGGGAGGTATTTGGGCATGGTGCAAATCTAGAAACTTTCATTCAGATACCACTAAAAAATAAAACTCATGAAAGAAAACCTTACATTCTAGGCATGTGTATCATGCCACCATGGTCTCATATTCTCAACACGATGACTCTGGCCTCCCTCTCCTAAATGGTACAATCACTCACATCAAAATGTTAAAAAAATTATCTTTAGATTGAAAAAAAAAAAAAAAACCTTAAGAATAACTGACACCTTCCCAAATTTAGCAAACACTGCTTTGACATGGTAATGACTGAAAGACATTCTCTCCACAGAATATGCTGAGTATCTGGGGTAGAAGAATGAAGACCTCAGCCTAAGGGAGTAGGCTGGAGGAAGAAGTGAGTGGAAGACATGGACACAAGTAGACCGAGGCTGTAGGAAAGCAGTGACTTACAGAGTTCATCTGGGAATAGAGACAGAAAGGCGCAGGCCAAGGAAAGTTTTCAACAACTGGAATATGGCTGTTTGTCACTTCAGCCACTGCACAGCAAGAAGGGAAAGACTGTGAGCCAAGATGCTGGCTGAGTGGTAGAAAGGAGGTCCTAGTGTTTCTGTTCACAGCGCTGGGAACTAAACCCCGGCCTTGTCACTAAACCGTTCCCCAGGCTGGTCTTAAGCTTGAGATCTTCCTGCCTCAGCCCCCTAGACTGCAGAGATTACAGGTGTGCACCTCCTCAGCTGATTTGTTTTTTTAATGACTTAGAAAAAAGCTGAAAATGAGGGGCAAATGGGTAAGAGATGGAGGCAGAAGGGAGGAAGAGAAGGGTAAGGGGTGGAAAGGAAGGAGCTGGGGTGTGCTCTGTGCATGCACTAGCCCCATACAAGAGGTGTAAACACTGTGTACTGCACATGTACCAAACCAGCAACAGACAAAAAGCACATGGGCAGGGAAAGTCTGAAATGAACAGCAGGACCGCGTACCAGCAAGTAAGATGAGACCACAAGACTATACGGTAAATGTTCCTTTGAGGCTTGTAGCACTCAATTTAAGAAGGAAGACAACACATTTGTTTCTCGAGGCATGTCCAGCTGCTCAGGCACAGGTATGAAGCGAGGACGGTCGGCGAGGTTTCACCCAGTGTGGTCATCCTGCTGCAGTTCATGTGAAATAAGGGAACTGAGACAGACTGATGGGGTAGATAATACAATGGGCAAAGGAGCTAAGAACACATGCGAGGGGATGCTGTCATGATGAACTCCAAAGACTCAGCAACACTGAGAGGGGAGGTGGGTCATATCTCAATCACGAAAAAACAGGGTAACAGTTTGGAGGACCCCTGGACGTAGACCTGTTAGCGTGACCAAGGATTCTGGGAGAAGGAGAAGCAAAAATAAAGCAAGCCTGCTGGTCTACAGGTTAACCTGAAATTGTAACACAGGTTGACTAAGACATGTAATATTAAACTCCTATGAAATATACATTCTTAATAACTTTTATGGTCTTTAAAACAGTATTATTGTAAGATCACCACAAGTCCCAATTCATATGAAATATGACACACGACCATTTTATGAAATAATACCATATTAACTAAGTAATATACCACTTGTTTCAGAATGTAACAACATCAGGACTAAAGGGGACTCCTTCTATAAAAAGTGCAAAACTTTTTAAAGATTCTATAGAGCTTACATTCTGTTTTTCCAAAGTCTGAAAACATATTTAGAGCCTCTTGAACTGACAGGACAAAGGATGCAAACCCAGACCTGTGGCAACTTGATTACAATGAGTGCTGGGTCTTGAACTCAGATCTCTCAGATTGTGTTTTTCCCATTTCTAGCCATGACTCTAAGGTCACAACATTAATATTATGATGTATCGCCAGGCATGGTGGTGTACACCTGTAATCCCAGCACTTGGGATGCTGAGGCAGAAGGATTGCTGGGAGTTTGGGGCCAGCCTGGACTACAAAGTAAGTTTACGGCCAGCCTGAACTGCATAGTGAAACCCTGCCTCAAAAAGACCAAAAAAAAGAAAAAGAAAAAGAAAAGAAAAAAGATGTATCATAAAATGAAGTAGTAACTATTAAATCATCATAGCTTTCAAAGTATTAAAAAGAGGAAAGATACTTTTTATATACTAGTGAGCCCTAATGAAAATGAAAAGTTTTTCATCTTTTCATATTTCATTTTGTTTGTTTGTTGTTCTTTGTGGTGGTGCTGGGGACCATCTCATGACAATAGGGCCTCACATACACAGGGCAAGTGCTCTTCCACCACCTCAGCCCATGTTCATTATATATATTACAAATACTAGATCTTAAGGAAGTAACAAATGTACACGACATGATCACTGCCCTTAAAGAGCTTACAATCTAAAGGGAAAACATAAAACAAATTTTAATAAGCAAAGCTTAAATGTTAAGACAAGGCAAAACAAGAGGTAGGGAATATACACACTCATTATTTAGGGAACTCTGAGTAATCCTGACTAAGAAGGCTATGCTTATGATGAACATGACCTACACTTACAGTTACAAAACATTCAGAAATATGCTGCAAGAGGAAAAGCGAATGAGTCCTGTAATTTCTGCCACAAATAGCCTGAAAGCTAGTTCACACTGAAAAGACAGGAAAGAGGTCAATAAGCAAGTTTTTAGTGATAGGACAAAAGGGAAGATGCACTCTAGGTTAGGCTGCTGGTTAGGAGATGATTACCTGAACTTCTTCAAACTCACTCAGGTACACAGCAGAGGCACTCCTGGAGGCTGTATCTGGGAAGATAAGAAGCTACTTTCCTGTGTGTCCCTTTCATTTTCATTTTAAGCACAAATGAATCCGGTGGTGATACAACTGAATGTCATTCTGTTGTGTTAATGGAGAGATGTGTGTATCTGGCATAAATTAATATATAAATTCAGTAACTACATTTTTCCCTTCTATCATAAAGTTGAATAACAGGAAACTATTATTTTTAGTTTACTAAAAAGGTGCTTCTTCTGATCACTTTAACCTCACTGGTAGCATCATTTTATGCCATTGATTTCACTGATTAGAGTGATTATACATGGCTCTATATTATAAAAAAAAAAGTACACAATATTACAATTTTAAAAACTAGCCAGGCATGGTGGTGCACACCTGTAATCCCAGCACTCAGGAGGCTGAGGCAGAAAGGTCACATAGTGAGATCCTGCCTTTAAAAAACCCCAAATATAAGTAAGTTAATTAAAAACAACAACAAAAAAAACTGAATCAGTACACAGTAAAATTTGGCTTTCAGAGCGGGAAACATTCCACAACAGGAAGTAGGGAAAAGTTTCAAATTAAACAAATAATCATGATGTGACTGTCACTCAAATCAAGAATCAAATCAAACTGTTTTTTTGAGGAAAAAACTTGATCAAAACATTTTAAAATATGGAAAGGGAGGAAATGGGGAAAGCCAAAGCAACTATCAGAATGGAACAGCAGAAAGAAAAATCTCCAGATCCACAAGGACAGAAAACTACAAAACTTACATTTCTGTGCTTTAGGACACATACTTCATTCTACTATGTAGACATTTTTTTTCTTTATCAATTTTCATACCTCATTATTCGAATCCTGAATAACCTTATACAGAGCTGGCACAAGTGTCTTCTTCCGGTGTAAAGTTGCTGCATAATTGGTGATCTGAGTGTCAGGTAATGCCTAAAAGAAACCACCACAGCAAGGAAAAGTGAATTTAATAGCTAACAAGTGAGGGACTTTATTTTACATGAGTGCCTCTTTGTTTATTTTTGTTTTTCTTCCGGTACCAGGAATCGAACTCACGACCTTGCGCTTGCCAGACAGGCGCAATGCTACTGAGCTGAATCCCTAGCCCCTACAAGAGTGCCTCTTGAAGAGAAAGAAAAAATAATTATATAATAAATAACCATGAGGGTTAATCAGATTAAGTTGGAATGCTATATTATACAATAATTTCTATTTAGCCATGCAATATGATCAGAGAACACCTCATGCCCAGATTTGCTCAAATGGACCACCTTAAACTAACCCAACCTTGAAATAAAAAGCTTGGAGGCTCCCTTCTGCTGAATACGGTTTGTTATTTGTATCCTTTCTTTCCTTCCCTCCCTCTGTCCCCCTCCCCTCTTTCCTTTTCTTTCCTTCCTGCCTTTTTTTTTCCTTTGGCCAGGGTCTCACTATGCAGGTCAGGCTGGCCTTAAACTCACTCTGTAGCCCAGGCTGACCTTGAACTTTCAGTCTCTGCTGCTGCTGGGATTACAGGCCTGCACCACAAACCCGCCCTCATTTCATATTTGGAGAGGGGGTATTCCTAAACTGTATTGCTCAGGTTGGTCTTGAACTCCTGGGCTCAGGCAAGCCTCTTGCCTCAGCCTCTGGAGCACTGTAGCTGCACTACAGAGGTGTGCTATGAAGCCTAGCTTTTTACTGAATATATGTTAAAATTTAAATACTACCTCATCAATTATAACGACTGTTTTCAGGCGTTACATGTATTCCTTTCTGGCCCTGATTCAAATTAGTGCCTTTAGAGATACAGTAGTACCTTGGTTCACGAATGCTTTTGTTTGCCAACAGTTTGGCTCATAAACAGAAGCACCTGGCAAAACTTTTTTTTTGTTAGAAAATGCTGCATCAGGCAACAAGCACAATTACAATCATAATTTTTTGAGGTTTTTTTTTTGAGACAGGGTCTTGCTATCTCATCCAGGCTGGCCTTGAACTCCTGGAGTAACTCTCCTGCCTCTGCCCCCCAAGTTCTGGGATCACAGGTGTCACCACCACGCCCAGTTCATAGCCATCTTTTTTGCATGAATGTAAACATGGCCATTTTCCTCAGAATCATGGAGTGAATTAAATTTATGAACTGAGACAACACCATATTATTTCTTAGCTTGTCATTTCTATTGCATAGCACATTTGTTTTTCTACATAACACATATTCACTGTCTGAATTAGTAACATACGTATTTGTATCCCCGATCCAGTTTACCTTGAATTCTGATAACCATTCTTCCACGACACCACGTTCAGATCCCAGCATCTTCTTCTACCTTCTATTTGTCTGTCTAAAATTTAAAAAAACAGCACTTAACTCAGGAACAGAACTGTATGACAGAAACTACCAATGGTAACAATGTGTGCCTTTTACCAAAAAAGGAACTCATCCAGTACCTACTTCAGATAAGAGGACTTGCTTTAAGTTTGAAGTACAATTGTAACAAAAATTTTCAGAAATAAGTTCTATTCTTAATGGTACCATATATTTGAAACCTATTTTCCTAGTGCTTTCATATTTTTCCCCAACAGGTATACTATAAATTGGCAAATAAAGTATCCTGAGTGACATTAAACTGTACAGTGTTCAAAAGAAACACAAAACCTACACCACCAGAGTAAGTTATAAATCAGAATGATATGACAGACTATAAGAGATAAAAATAATCAACTAGAAAGCAACAGTCAAAAATTCAGCAAGCTGATAACCACATATACGCACTACACAAAGTGAGACCTTTAAAGATAGCTCCATACATTTTCTAAGGTGGAAAAATGTCCCTATACGAACTGTGCCAATTGTACAATGGTATATAAGCTATAATTCCCAGTAAAGTTATATAAAACATGAAAAAGCATGGAAGCAAATATTCACTAAACCATTAGGTCTCTCAGAACAGTCTATGTAGCTTTGAACAAAAAAGTAAGATGTAGGGGCTGGGGA